TTTTGGATAGGGGTTTTTTGTGCAAAAAGAGGCAGTTCCCCGTCCACATACACCTTTTTGCACAAGATTGCTTGTGCAAAAAGGAGTTATTCCTCGTAGAAAGAGGAACAACTCTTGCGCAAAAACTCCTCCGTTCTGTCAATTTACTTGAGCAAAAATGTGCTTGAGGTGTGGATGCTCATGAGTTTTTGTGCAAAACCAGACGTTTTTGCACAAAAACTCTGCAGTTTAGCCGTAGCCTGAGATGGAGGGCCACTCATGTGGCCCACTCACTAGCCTAGGTTACCCCTCACTGCTTTAGGACATTGCCTATAAAGATGCTCCCTGTGGAGGGATGCAAATGGGTGAGCCAGGAAGTGCATTTCTCTTTGGGATGTACCCAACAGGAGCTGGGCAAGGGGTGGTGGGGAAAAGAGGAGGGGAGAAACAATCCCTACTCCCCAGGAGCTTGGAAAGAGAAACCCTCCCCATTCTCTCTCCGCTGCTAAGAGACGGGGGGATCTCCTTCCTCTGTGTCCCAATGAGGTTAGGGGGGGAGAGAAAGGGGAGATCTCTCTTTTCTCAATGGACAAGAGAGATGGGAAAAGCTAACAGGCTGTTTCATCATCAAATGGAGTCGGAAATGCCTCATTGTTGAGTACAGACCCAGAGCCACAGTGCAGTTTCAGGGTACTACGCTGCAGTTAATAGGTGGGTCTTACACTGCACCTGATGAAAGAATGATTCTTTGGATACTAAGCTCTAATTTAAGGAAGGGGTCTCTCTTTTATGTGACAGCCGCAATTGCCTGCAAAGGGCTTGCAGCTGTAATAAGGAAGAATGGTATGTGATTAAAGCACTGGCTAGGGTCTCAGGAGAGCTAGGTTGTATTCCTGGTTCTGCCACTGACACCCTGCATGACCTTGGCCAAGTCATGGCACTTCTTTATGCCTCAGTTTCCCCATCTCTGAAATGGGGCTAATAGTACCCACCTTGCAATGGGGTGGTGTATATTGGTTAATGGTAAGCACTGTAAAATTCTTGACTAGAAATATTTAGTGAGCTTTTCTGTGCATAGTACAATTATTATGTAATGCAACTGGTTGTTGGGAAAGAACTTTTATTTTGAAGACTGGAGGATTTGTAGTACAAATGGTGTTCTGACATGAATGATAGAAAGTCTTAGTGTAGCCATTGACGTACACAGTCTTGTACTTGCAGGTTTTTCTACTTGACTGATGCCAACTTTTCTTTCCTCTTTCAATAATTAAAAAGGGCTTAATCAAAAGGTAGGACATTGATGGTGTGGTGGCTTGTTGAACGCCCATGCTTTGGGACTCCAGAAAGTTGAGGCTAGAAAAATTTGGTCACTACCTACTCATTCCAAGTACTCATTTGCCTGCATCCATGATCCACCCCATCATCTGCTACAATTTGGCATGAATGATTGTTACTCTGTACTTAATAAAGAACCAAACCTGAACTCACAAGCATGAGACAGACTGGAACTGCTAGGCATTGCCAGAGCTTGTGGAAAAGTTAGTCCAGTGGCTGTGCAGTCGCTTTCTCTAGCCAATGTTATTGACCTGGGTAGCAACCAGAAATAGATGGAACACAATTGCTGTTTTTTTCCTAAAGGAATGTGATCTGAAATCACCCACCTGTATTTTAGAAAGTGAGTCTGAAACTCTCTCTAACTTTCAGAACTGGTTAATGCTGCTCCTGTTACAGGCAGTCCCCGGGTTACGTACAAGATAGGGACTGTAGGTTTGTTCTTAAGTTGAATTTGTATGTAAGTCGGAACTGGTACATATTGTAGGGGAAACTCTAGCCAAACATTTCTCCAGAGCTCAGTTTTATTCTCCCACACCTCACTTCCCTCAGCCCTTTATTCTCAAGCTGAAGTGTCTGCTGAGAAAAGCCGCTCCACCTCTCCCTGGTCTGCTGGGCGGGGGGAGGGGGACGCGCTAGCTTCGCATCTCCCTAGTCTGCTGGGGGGAAGTAGCTAGTGCGGGGGTGCCTCACCCCGGTTGTGGTTGCCTCACCCCGTTTGTAAGTAGGGATCCGATGTAAGTCGGATCCATGTAACCCGGGAACTGCCTGTATTTAATAATGAACAAAGTCAAGGGATGCCCAGACTGGCAGCAGAGAGAAAGACTCAGCTAAGGAGACAGAAGAACATACATTTTTAAACTAATGTGTTTGATCTTCTGTCCAGGGATTTGAAACTGCTGAAGCAGACAGAAGCAGAGAGAGAAACCAGCAACAAAAGAGGGAAATTTTGTTTGAGGCCTCTAGTTAACTGAATGTCTTATTATTTAGCAGGAGCTGGAGCCAATTTCAACAGCCAGGTAGAACAGGAAGTGACCCGGGGCAGGGACATTTCCAATAACTGCTCACATGAGTAATAGCAGTTTGGGAGGTAGAGAGCTGCAGGAAAACAGAGCCCAGGGCTGGGTTGTTTCAGACAACTCCGGAACTATTTCATGCTGAGGCTAGACAAGTGCCATCCCAGTTCCGCTTTGACTTTCCATTTTGAAACAAAACTCACTTGCCCCAAACACAACTCAGTGAGAACCCCTGGAATTCATGGGATTTCAATGCAGAGCCATGACTGGGCCCAGCATCACTTTGACAGGTCCCTGAACCTCAGTGGACTTTTCAGTATCCTGACTGGCCTGAGTTCTGAGTGTGTAATGAAAACCCAGGGGAGTGTCGTGCCATTTTGGGTTTCACCACAAACATTCCACACAGCTTCAGTTATCAACTTCTAAGCCCAGAAGAGCAGTGATTTGGATGGCTGTTCAGTGGCTGAATTGTTGTTGTTGGTTTCACTATTTTCTCCTACACACTGGCATCATTCTTAGACCTGGTCTACACTAGATTTGGCTGCTTGGCTTAAGGTACATAACTCCAGCTATGTAAAATATGCAGCTGGAGTCAGCTAACCTTAAGCCAAGCTTGGCAGCATCCCCATAACAGAAGGCTAATGGAAGCTCCCATTGGCTTCCCTTACTCCTCATGAAAGCAGGAGTTCCAGACACTGGCGGGGGCACCCTCTGTGTTCAATTTAGTTAGTCTTAACTAGACTCACTAAATCAAACACCAGAAGATCGATCATGGCAGCAGCAATTTTCCGTTTAGTGTAGACAAGGCCTTAGTCTATTTCTAGACTATGACCGTGAGCTAGAGGGTGATTCCCCGTCTCATGTACACACATACATAGCAGTATAGCTCTGGTTGCATGGATAGTGGCAGCACAGACATGGCTGAGCTGTGTTGGGTATAAAATTTCCTGAAACTGGTGGATATGAACTCTGGCATGGATCAGATGGGCCTCCATTGTTACTTTCATAGCTAAACGGCTATTAATAAGCATGTTAGCTTGATGAGAGATGGAGTGAGTATGTGTACATGAGCAGCCGAATCACACCCCGAGACTGTAGTGCAGACACAGACTTAACTATTTCCCATCTGTCTCTAAGTTACATCTACTCACTGCACTAACCTACGCCTGACATTGGTAACGTCAGCACTCACAGAACCAATGTAATTGGAGAAGAGGGAACTATGTTCTTTTCTGCCTTGCACACTTTGATCCTACCCCTACAACATCCTCGGAATCTCTTTGTTGATGATGGCTGATGGTGTTGTACAGAGCCAAGAGAACAGAGATCAAACTTTTAGATGCCCGACTCCATGTGCAGAACAACCACTTATAAAAAAGTAGATTCCATTCGTCAACACAGCATCTCCCATTAGCCACTGAGACACGGTCAATGTGGAAACCCACAATGTGCTATTTAATTATCTTCAATCATATGTATTTGTAATAGACTAAGATGTCCTGGTGGAGGATGAGGGGTGCTTGTTCACCCTTCCTGTCTAGTGGTGCACACACAATAGAATGCGTTCCACTCAGTTTTCATCTGATGGTGCGTGAACATTTTGCTTCCATCCACAGACAATTGTCTAATCCTTCTCTCACTTATACCACAGCAAATTATGAATAACTCCATGGAAGTCAAAAAAAGAGAGGTCCTGTAGCACCTTAGGGCATATCTACACTAGGAAATCATTTCAATATAGCTAAATTCGAAATAATAACTCCCGAAATAACAACATTGAAATAGCGTGTCCTCACTACGGGGAAGCCTCAAAATTAGTCCGAGGCAGGCTCCGTTATTGTGGATGTGCTACCTCGACCTAGAGCCCCAGGAATCACTGGGGAATAATTACTTCAAATCACTCAGGGGAGTAGTTATTTCAAAATAGCAGCACCAGAGCGTCCACACTCCCACTATTTAGAAATAGCTATTTTGAAATAAGCATTATTCCTCATGGAAAGCAGGCGTACAGTTTTCGAAATAACCAGCCCGTTTTTTTAAAATAATGGGCTTGGTAGCATGGACGCTCTGCTTATTATTTCAAAATAAGGGGGGTTATTTCAAAATAACTCCCTAATGTAGACCAGGGCTGAGAGACTAAGAAAAATATAGATGGTATCATGAGCTTCCGTGGGCACAACCCACTTCTTCAGATGAGTGGAGCAAAAGGGCTCCATAGAAGTCAAGAACAACACACTCGTGTGAAACCACAGGAGAATCAGACCATTATGCTCATGTTTTTACTATCTTAGCCTCATGCTGTCTGAGCTAGACAAAAATACTGGTGGTGGTTTAGAGCGGTCTTCTAGGAACTGAGCTTAGATGGCAAAGCTCATGTCACACAGACCATCTGAAGTCTGTCTCTCTTGGACTGGGCTGGATTTGAGCTGGCAATGTTCTGGTGCGGTGAGTTATTTTTAGGTTCCTCACTTCTGTACACACATTTTGTTACTAAGTTAGGATGTTAACTGATTCTTAAAGCATAGCTGACAGCAATTTCATCGTTGAGAATTGTTCAGACATGGTAGGCACATTTTCAAGGGCGTGTGCTTAGTAAGTGCTGGCTGCGTCAGAGTCAGAGATGTCATTTGCATAGTCTATTAAAACTAAAAATCACAAGTAAAGGCTTCTAACCTTCAGAATTCTCCACCACATCCGGATCAGTAGAGATCTCGTCGTCTTCGTTAGTGGCAACTGCACTTTCTGTGGTCATTAGATCTTCTAAGGGGAGCAAGTCTGTTATGTTATGCAGTCTTGTGGGCAACTGGGAGGAGTGAATATAAAAAGAGAAAGACAGAGTAAGACCCAATATCTTTAAAATTGATATATAAAGGCAGACCCTTAGTTTCCTTGCCTTCATAAAGTCCAGTGTCTGCTCTTTTTTATTTACTGCTGCAGCACAGAGGGAGTGAAAAGGTACCTTGTCTCCTCCCCCACTGGGAATTGCCCTAGTTTGAGCGAGTCTCCCATGGGCATATATAAAACATAGCAGTCTCTTATGTCATTGCTTGCAGATCCTCCTATGCGTTGGGGTTGATGAGGACGTAGCATGACCATGCTGAAGTCCAACAGTCCTTAGGCTACTCTAAGCTACCCCAGGAGTGGGGCAGAAGCATCTTCATGATTAGGAAGCCACAATCTTTTATCCCCAGCCCAGGATAAGCTAGAATCAAGCCCTATGTCTCTCTCTCTTTCTCCGTCATACACACACACACACACACACACACACAATCCCACCAATAAAAGAAAAATGTGTGAGACAAACACTGAGAAGAAATGGCCCTGTTTGCCCACCATGGGTGTTTTACAAGTTTTAATAATAAAAAGAGGAAAGCCTCTATTTGACTGTTTGGATTTGCCATGTGAACAACATATGTTGAATTACTGATTGGTCGTAAGCTATGTCCACCATGCGGCCTAGCTTTTAGGAATGCAGCTGTGGTGAGAGGGGAGAGTATTTCCTGTATAGAGCACAATATGCCAGTTCATCTGTTTCTAAAGGGAAAAATTAAATTGAGAGAGTTGTTCATTGTCACTCATTTAACTGTGCTACGAAGGAACTCCCCTTTCCCTGTCTCTGTATCGACAATGTTTTGCTCTGAGTGACTGATAGCAAGCAGTTTTAATTTTCATTTGCATCGACTGTTGTCCCTTGATAGATGCAACTGAAAATTAAAACTGCTGGCCGCAGCAATCACTAACAGTCAAACATTCTCAATGCAGAGGCAAGGAAAGGGGAGTTGCACCCAGTCTCGTAGAAATTTACAAAATGTGTCCATTGTGTTACATGAGTTCCACCAACACCAATGGAGGCACATCAGAGTAGAACTGCTGTGCATAGCAGGCTCTGACTAGTCTGTGCAATTCAGCAAGGGATACAATTATTTTCAGCTTCCTCTCCCTCCACCAAAACTTTTGCAAAGCAAAAAAATAAAAACCACCTGCTCTTTTTGAAACAAATTATCACTCATTGCCATGTAGCTTAATGGTTCAAGTCACAAGCTCGAACTTTGCTAAAAAGACAAAGCAAGGAGACAACACAAGGAACCCTGTGTCAGCTAGGTCTGAAGAGCCTTATATTAAGAGACACCCACCAGAGTTGGCCTTTCTTCAAGCTCTGAGTCGTTCCTGTCTTTGAAATCGTTTGATACTGTTTCATCCTCCAGTGGAACTGTGCTTGCTGAAAAAAACCCACACACAGAAAATGAGTTAGAGATTCAGTTGATGGTCACTTATTATGATTAAACTGACAGTCTGCAAATTAAGTATATTCAACATGAGATAGCTTACCTCCACTGCCGTGTCTACCTATTGGTATGTATATGTCTGCACTAATACATTAGCAATATACTCTGGTTTATCCTTGTGGATTAGCTCCTTCGTTTCTATTAAGTACCTCAGGCAAGAGCTCAGATATCCTTCATTTACAAAGTTTGAAATCTGTCTAGGTTTTGGCCAGAAGTGCTGAGTCCACCAGGTTCTATGAACAGAACTCGTGAGACTTGCCTTCAAATGGAAGAAGCAGCATTTTGCTTTATAAATAAATCCCTGGATGCTGAAACAATATTCCCCTGTGATAGACTTAATGTAACAATGAGTAGCCGCTGTGTTGTACCATTGGAATTCATCGGATAGAGCACTGAACTGTGAAGAGGCTTCAGAGGAATAGGTCTGGCAAGGTTTTGCACTTCATTACTAAGGACAATGCAAAGACAAGTCCCTAGAAGCAAGTTTAATTTCTTAGGGTACATCTAGACTACATGCCTCTGTCGCCGGCAAGTTTAAAATCTTGGGGTACATCTAGACTACATGCCTCTTTCGAAAGAAACTTTTTCAAAAGATACTTTCAAAAAAGCCTCTTTCAAAAGAGAGCATCTAGACTACAGCCAGTACTTTCAAAATAGCGAGCCGCTTTTTCGAAAGAGAGCACCCAGGGAGTCTCAATGCTTTCTTTCGAAAAAGCACAGTTTGCATTACATAGCGCCTTTTTTGAAAGATCACTTTCGAAAAAAACATTATTCCTTGTAAAATTAGGTTTTCCGCGGTCGAAAAAACTGCCGTGTTCTTTCAATTTACTTTCGAAAGAACATGGCAGCAATCTAGATGCAGGGAGCCCTTTTTTTTAAAAAACCCTGTAGTCTAGACACACCCCTAGTGAGGAAAATAGAAAGGAGAGTAAACTTTGTCAAATTAAGTGTAAAAATATAATAAGAAAAGCCAAAAAGGAGTTTGAAGAACAGATAGCCAAAACCTCAAAAAGTACAGTAGACTTCCGATAATCTGGCACCTTTGGGACCTAAGTGGTGCCGGACTATTGGATATGCCGGAGTATCGGGACGTACTCCGGTGGGGGGCTGTGACTGGTCTGCCAGGACCTGCACTGAATCCAGGGGGGTGGGCGGGGAATTTAGATCTTAGTTCATCCCATGCTTTTAAGTACTTTGAGCTACTCACATTCTCCAGCATTGCTTATCAGCTGCCATGTGACCTGAGTCCTCTTTCAAATTGAATGTTTCTATGTTGTTATGATTGTACACTTCCAAGTCATCCTAGATCTACCCCTCTTTCTTGTTGGATTTTCTGGCTTCCAATGGAGAGCCATAATCAGCAGTCGGTTATGATCGATTCTTTACACATGCTAGGCATTGATATCTTCTCTTGCAAATAATTTGCCATAGTGACCTCCCTTGAGACATTTTTCTGACCTCATCATTTGTTTTTCTTTCCTCATAGTTTACTCCTAATATTCTCCTCGAGCTCTTATGATGAAAGACATCTAACTTCTGAGCATCTGTTTTCTGAAGTTGTTAGGTTTAATTGAATATAGTTTAATTCCAAATTAAGATCGGATTGCCTGTTACCAAGACTAGCATTCTTATAACACTTGATGAAGATACTCAATGTGCATCTGGCCTTTGTAAAAAATTTCTTCGTGTGCTGTGGAGCAATCTCCACATTCCTCACTGATTTCCATATCCAGTTTTTGTTTGCTTGAATATAAACTGTACTTTGTTATATCCCTCAGTGCTTTTATTAGAAATTTCTCTATCAAGAAATAATTTCATGAAGATGCTTGCCTTCACTCTTTAATTAAACCACAGTGTAATACCACAACAGTCAGAGGCTAAGTATCTGTGTGTCACTGTACACATGTCCAATCAGCTTAACATCTGATTTTGTACAGTGTGACAGGGTGCCTGCCCTGCACTGGCCCTTTAAGACCAGGACTCAGGCCCTGAGCCAGGGCTAGAAAGAAAGAGGCCAGCTGGAGCTGTTTGGGCCAGGGAGAGCCCAGCTGGCAACTATCTAGGGCAGTACAATTGGCTTGTGGAAGCCAGCTGAAGCCGTTAGGGCTAGTGAGAGCCCAGCAGGCAGCTATACAGAGAAGCCCGGTTGGCTTGGAGAGCCCAGCTGAAGCTGTTAGGGCAAGTGAAAGCCCAGCTGACGACTATAAATAGAGAAGCACAGTTTGTTTAAGGGGGATCCAGTGGAGGGCTGACTGCAGAGGAAGCAGGAGCTCCTTGGATGGATGGATGGATGGATGGATGGATGGATGGATAAGCTGGAGAGGACTAGCAAAGGCTGGAGGAGGGCCAGCCAAAACTCCCCCTGGCTAGGGGCTGGAAACAAAGCCCCTGGCTTGCAGGCAGATCATGAGGCCGCCTAGGTAAGCTGAGCCGTTGAGACAAATGCCTATGATGAGCAACCCCAAACAGACTGTGGGCTAGTGAGAGCCCAGCAGGCAGCTATACAGAGAAGCCGGGTTGGCTTGGAGAGCCCAGCTGAAGCTGTTAGGGCAAGTGAAAGCCCAGCTGACGACTATAAATAGAGAAGCACAGTTTGTTTAAGGGGGATCCAGTGGAGGGCTGACTGCAGAGGAAGTTGTCTCACCTCAGCAGAACTATTAAGCAGAAATGCCATTTTTCAACAAGAGTGGACCATATTAAAATGATTCTTAATGGGGCAGGACTCTTAACCTAAAAGCAGGATATCAGTAACCGATGTTGATTTTCCATCTCAAACCCTTCTCAATCCTCTTAATTTCTGCACTTATAAAATATCCTGGGTGAAATCCTACCACATCATTGAAGTTAATGGGAATTTTGTCATTGACTTCACTGGAGCCAAGATTTCACCTCTGAACATTCTTTACAGAAAGCAAAATAATGGATCAGTCCTGTAAGATACTGAGCAATCCCATCTCCTCCTGAAGTTCTCAGCTCAAGGCTTTGAATATCAGCAATATTCAGGCCTTTCTGATGCAAAGAAAAACTCGGTGAAATTCTGAGCCCCCATTGATGAAGAGAAGTTAGCGAGAATGGTGCAGGTGCTAAATGAGGAAGGGAAGCAGTATGGACTGATTATGAATATCGTTAAATAAGCGTTATTCCCCAAAGAAAGCAGGAGCACAGATTTCGAAATAACCAGCCCCTTATTTCAAAATAACGGGCTTCGTAGTGTGGAAATGCCACACAATATTTTGAAATAACTCCCTAGTGTAAACTAGGGCATAGTGGCTACTACTTCAGAACTGGCTGGACACCATGGATGAACCTTGCCAAGGAGCTAAAAAATCTGAAAACCATCTCTGATTATATTAACCAGCGTATTCTGAACAATCAGTATCTTATTGTTTGCTTCCCTTATTGGCTAGTTTCTATTCCACAGTATTCCTGCAATACTGAATAGAATGGTTTTATTCAGCACCTTTCATTTCCCAGTTAGGGATGAAAGCAAGTAGTCGAGTAGTCAACCAACTACTTGACCACTCGCATTTCGCTCCCTTCCCTTGTTAACAGCCAATTCTCCTCAGCACCATCTCCACAGTGCCACCATTCCCCCTCGGGCTGGGGGAGGCAGCAGCATGGGCGGAGAAGAGCAGGGGAGGCTGAGGTGAAGCAGCCTCTTCCCATAGCAGGCCCAGGTTCACCACAGGCAGTAGCCTGGGCTGGCTGCAAACAAAGGCTGCCATGGCAGGCGGCCCCCGCCTCCAACGGGCCCCCCACC